ACAGGAAACTCTCTTTAGAAATCATATTTGTTAAACTGTGTTTACAAGTTTTCATGCTCCTTCTTATTATGCATTTATATACCCACTTTAACTATGTATACACAAATATGGCAATAAAACTTTTATTGGTAATAATAAAAAAAAAGAAACATTTATGAATATAGTAATAATTATTATAGACTCTGGTACACAAAGCTTCATATAGTGACCAGACCGTTTTTAAATTTTCTTACCGTTCAGGATCCAGGGCTGTTTTTACATTTCTGCTGTGTTTGTGTTTAGCTGTAATTTTCCTCTTACTCATTTACTGTACCCACACATATTATATACTGTTTTTTTCTCGCCATTAAATGGTCTCTCTAAAGATACCATTGTTTTTATCATATCATATAATTTACTCTAAAACAAATTATAAAATAGGATGAAAAAATTCAAAAAAACACACTTTTCCTAACTTTGGCGCCCAAAATCTGTTACGCAAAAAAAACATGCTAAATAGTTTCTCAATTTTGTCCTGAGTTTATAAATACCCAATGTTAACATGTTCTTAGCTTTTTTTTTTTGCAAGCTATAGGGCTATAAGTACAAGTAGGACGTTGCTGTTTCAAAATATATATATATTTTTAAATTTATCAATAGCATCATTGTAACACACTTATCTGTCATAAATCTCTGAATCACACCTCACATGTACATATTTTTTTAAAGTAGACAACCCAGGGTATTCAATATGGGGTGTGCCCAGTCTTTTCAGCAAAGTCTCCCTTCCCCCTGGAAAATCAGGCCTTATATTTGACCCTGTAACTTTCAAAAACACTATAAAACTTGTACATGGGGGTACTGTTATACTAGGGAGTCTTTGCAGAATACAAATATTAGTGTTTCAAAACCGTAAAACATATCACAACAATGATATCATCAGTGAAAGTGCCATTTGCAGGCCCAGACTGCGATGTCCATGGGCCGAGGCCTAGGGGGAGGTCACAGGATCTCCTCAGCCGGTCCATGCAGGGCTGGCACTATCTAAGCGCCGGCCCCGCTGTTTTCCATGACGGGTCGGTGGGGAGATCAAAGAGCTCCCTCACTGGCCCGCTTGCATAGACGTGAGGCTGGGGAGGGAGAGGAGGACCCGGCAGAGCTCTATCTTGACGTTCCGCCGGGTTCCTCTCTCAAGATCTTGATCGTTGCCATGGCAACGCCCCCGGACTGATGAGAGTGAACTCTAGCCTCGCAGGCCTCGAGAGGAACCCGGCGGAACTTCAAGATGCAGTGCCGGTCACACCCTCCCAGGCACCACCGCGCCAGTTCCCCCCTCCCTGGCTAAAGGGAAGAAGGGAGGAGGGGGGGAGATAATGTCTGTTTTTTTTTTTTCACCCCCCCACCCACACAATCCCTCCTAACATACACACAGCACCCTCACACACACCACACACCGCACTCACAGCACCCTCACCCAAAGCACCCTCACACACAACAATCTCACACACATTACCCACAGCACCCTCATAAACAGCACCCTCACCCACCTCATCCACATCACCCTCATCCACATCACACACAGCACTCTCACACACCTCACGCACAGCACCCTCACCCACAGCACCCTTACCGATAGCACTCTCACACACATCACCCACAGCACCCTCACCCATAGCACCTACCTCACCCACAGCACCCACTTCACCCACAGCACCCCACCCACAG